ATGACCTAGACCTAGGAGGGTGAGCAAAAATAATGGGATTTTAATGACTATGTTGCATTTAATTGTATCTAATTTTGATGACCACATAGTACCAGTATTTTTGGTTAATATAGATTAAAGAAATTTTACTATTTTAAACAATATAATCACATTCAGTTAATGCATTTGCCAAATTCTGCAACAAACAATATGATTATCAATAGGACCATAGAGGTCCTTTGCCTCTAACCTGTCTTAACATTTCTGTTTTAAGATTTTCAGACTTTGTGTGGTTTTATTAAAATCAAATTGTCAGATTCCTGAATAGTTAAGGAAGCTGGAGTGTGACTATTTGGCTATGTTTGTTCATTGAGCACTAGGAATGTCAGTGAACCAAGTGTAGCCAATCAAATGGAGGCTATGATCACATTATACATTGAACAAATGCACAGCAGTATTAGCCATGATAACTAATCGCTACAGGCAATATCACTTGATCAGATGTGAGAATGAATGGCATGGGAGATTTGGCAGGCCCTGTTATACCGTTCTGATAAGCTGTCCAGATTTATGTGTTGTGTCATTGCTAGAGGCATAACAATGAACTAGATGAACCATCTTCTGACATAATCTTGGCTGTTTTTATGCTTGTAAAATATTTTTCATGCCTGTATACTACATTACATTTTTGTAATAACCTTTGAGAAATTTAGTCATAGAACACATGGGTGACTGTGAGGAACAAAGGCGGGAGGGGGGAATGAATGATGGCATGTATGTAATGACATAATCATGCAAATGCTGCACCTCTTATTTGCATCAGATGTGAGACTAACCATCTGGGAAAGGTTGCCTCTTCGCACAGCCTTAGCCCCAGCCATAGCCTCAGCCCACCTTAGGGAAAGTGGATAGTAGATGTTTTTTCCCTACTAACATGGAATCCACCAATCAATACACCTTAAACAAGGCACAGTAGAGACCAGCTATGGAGATTGAGCAATTTATTATTATTATTATTATTATTATTATTATTATTATTATTATTATTATTTATTCAATTTATATACCGCCCTTCTCCTAGTGGACTCAGGGCGGTGCACAGGCATACTTTAATGAGAATATAGAGAAGAGCTGCATGTCAGCAACAAAGAGGTCCAGCCTCCTCAGAATGATGAGAAGAAGAAATAAAATCAACCATCCTTCAGGAAGGATGTGTGGGCAGTGAACCAACTGCCAAACCACAAGGCCCAAGGTGTGGATACTATCCCTGCAAAATGGCTGAGGTCTTTGCCACCCATAACCATCATAGGCTTCTGACAGAAAATAAGGGACACTAACACAGGATTGGAAATGACAAGTGTTCAGTCCATTGCCAGAAAGGCACTTCAGGGATTGCTCCAAGTATTGTACAATTGCCTTCATCCCTCACGTTAGCATGATTTTCCTTAATATTGTACAACAACTGTCACCGAACTGTCCCATTGAAAGGGAAGTACCAGATGTTCAAGATGACTGGACAGAAAGTCCAGTTGCCTTTTGAAAAAAAGTACCTTTGAGACAACCATGACCTGCATGAATCTCCATATACATTTTTGTCTTTAGCTATTTCCCCCCCCCAATATATAAAAAAGACAAGTGCTAGAAATATGGGGGATATTGGGCACCAAATCAGAGCCATATGTAAACCTACATTTTTCCTAAAATTCCATGAAAGAGGCATGAATTGCTTGATAAAAGCACTGGCCACAAACCTTTACAAAGCAATCTGGTTAATTTAAATTCAGGTAATCCTTGCTTATTGACACTTGTTCAATGACCACTCAAAGCTACCACAGTGCTGAAAAATGAGACTTAGAACTGATCTTTTAAATTGTGGCTGTTGCAATGTTCCCGTAGTCATGATTGTGATTCAGGTGCTTGGCAACTAATGCTTATTTATGACAGTTGCAGCATCCTGGTCACGTCATCATTTTTTGTGATCTTCACTGCCAGCTTCTGACAAGCGAACTCTTGTCAGAAGCTGGCAAGAGGTTGCGAATCAAAGTTATGTGACATTGCACTTAACCATCATGGGTGATTTGCTTAATGACAGCAGCTAGAATGAACAAACTGACATAAGTGGGGCTTAGTCATGTGGTATTTCACTCTACAACCATGCTGGTTATCCATGGAGTTGCTGGTCCCAGTTGCAGTTGGTAAGTGAGGACTATCTGTACAATAATGTTTTTAATGTATCTGATTGTTATCAGATAAACACTATCTCTCTGGCCCCCATTACAGTAATGTGTGTGTGAGAGAGTAATAGCACCTTTTATTCTAAGACAAATGTTAATCTTTTGTTAAGAGGGACTATAAACTGAAGAAAAACGATAAGGTTTCCTGCTAACTCTGTTACTCTGAAGAGGTGTGTGTGTAACTGAAGAGTGATGCATCTGTAGTATATGAATATCCCTGTATTTCTCCTGGACCTATGATCCTAGTTCTACTCCAATGCTCACCATAGCAATTAAAGTAACAAACTCAACCTACAGACTAATTTCCCCCCACCCATGTATGTTTCATTCCATTTTTATTACTTTTTTTACACTTTAGACATTTTTTTTACATTTATGATTAAAGCAACAGTGGGGAATGAAGGCTGCAATATATTTTTGATTAAACAGGTAAAGTATTAACATACTGCAATATGTTAGAGAGTTTCTGATTAAATGTTTAGAAAAGGCATCCCTTTTATTTTCCTTGTTTCTCTAACTGTGTATCTGACAGTTCTTTATTAATCCAGTTGGGTGGCAGATGTGATGATTTATTTCACATGAAATTATTTCTTATTGTCTTCATCCATTAAAATGTATAAAATTTAAAACATATTTTTCAATAGGTATATGCCACCAATAACATTGTGCATAGGAAAGAAAAAAAAAAAATCTCCTTCGAGCCGGAATCGAACCAGCGACCTAAGGATAACCAGCTTTAATTCATCTACAGTCCTCCGCTCTACCAGCTGAGCTATCGAAGGAACGAAAAGGTTGTTTTGAAAGAGATATATAAGCTGCCAAAATAGAGTAGACTTTATATTAACTATTCCCACATCGTTGTAACCACATTTGCAGAAAATGAATAAAGCACAGAAGCATTTATGATACAATTTTTACAACAATCAATGTAACTTGTTATATGGAAGAAACTCAAATCGAATCTAAAAGCTCACTGAACCAATACATTTTTATTATTTTAGATTTTTACAAGAAACAATTTCCCACGGAGGGCCAGTGGCGCAATGGATAACGCGTCTGACTACGGATCAGAAGATTGTAGGTTCGACTCCTGCCTGGCTCGGAAGGTTTATTTTGCAAATGACGGGAGCCCTTTAGTGTTAATGTATATATATATTAAACAATATCCATGAAATTTTTTTTTTTCAAATCTGGTAAGGCAACGCTCGAATCTAGTTCAGAACAAACTTAACACATCATTAGTGCGCTGGGTCTAGATTTTCCTCTTTCCAGGAGTCGACTCCTGGATTACTTTATTTTTACATGTACAAACGGCATAGCTCAAATCAGATTGTTTTCCATTGCAATCGCATAAAATAAATTAGATATAATTTTGTTTTATGTTTAGAGACTTTAGCTGTTAATTGTTTTGAAAAGACCCTGGAACAGATAAGAAACATGGGACATGCAAGCCAGCCATTTCGCTTTGAGCTCATATAAGCGCTTCGATTCTAGCGGATTTATCATCTCCTTTAAAAATATGTATTAAAAATACGCTCGCTTTTTTTGTCCCTTTCTCTTATCAATCCCACAGTCCGGGGCTCTCCGCGCTTTCCTAGCTGTCTCCTGACACGCTCTCCCATTTTGGAGTTGTAGAAACACTAAGCCACTGATTTCCATCAAAGAAGCCGGGACATTTTCGAAGCACGCGATCTTCAGCGCCATCTTGCGATCTCACCGGCTCTCTCAAGCAAACTCTACTCACGCTCTTTACACTCAGTAGCAAAAAACGCCGTACTGTGTCCCTTCGATAGCTCAGCTGGTAGAGCGGAGGACTGTAGAGTTACTCAGACTGAAATCCTTAGGTCGCTGGTTCGATTCCGGCTCGAAGGAGGCCTTTTATTCTAGAATTTATTCTTTGTCACTACTTCTGAAGTTGCCATTCACGCTTTGAGAGGAAACAAAAAAAAAATTAAGACCTTGTTTTGGATTCGCTGAGGATTTCGGTGGGAAACAAAAAAGGCGTTAGGAATAAATAAGTCACTTTTGCTGCCATTACTTTAATAAAGCGAAACTAAGTTTACTGTCAAACGGAGTTTCATTTGAGAAGGAGCTTCTCGGGAAAACAGCGAACTGCTAAATTTATAGTAGTGGCACAGTGTGATACTACGCGGAACTCACAAACTTGGGTGTGTGTGTGTGAATTAAAGCACAACTGAAATAATAAACAGAAAATCCTAATTGGCATAAAGCAGTTTCAGATTTATTTTTTTCTTTCCACCCCTTGCTCTGTTGTTCTTGCATGATTCTTCATATTTCTTTGGGGTGACGGCAATAATCTGTTAAAGCAACCCCTGCATCCGCGCCATGCAGAAGAGTTAGTTGCTGTGGCACAAATCTCGGCTCAAATCAGTGCCGTTTAAAGCTGGGTTCATAGCAAAGCAAAGCAAAAAAAAAATCCATGGTGGGAAAAGATAGCTTAAAGTTGGAGCATTTTTGTTACTTTAGGAACTGAATTGAAGGAAAATGCAATGTTTAGATAAGGCGCATTTTGCTAAGCATCTAACTATTATTATGACCGCCTGTACTTTGGTGGCTCGTGTCCATGCATCAGTTGTGTGGATTGCAAACAAGCCTGAGGAAGATGCACTGTGCGCCCCCACATCCACACCCAAAGAGTCGAGGGGTAGGAAGGGAGAGGAAGAAGAGGAAGAAATCCGAAGCGGGGTGGGAAAAACCATTCATAAGAAATATATGTAATGAACATACATTTAAACCAAAATACCTTGTTGTACCCTTTTATTGCAGACAAAAGAGCTGTGTTTTCATTTTAAAAGAACTGAAAAAGAGAGATACTGAAAACAAGAAGAACTGATAGAGCGGAAAAAGTGCTCCGTTTGGCAGAGAACGAGGAAGGGAGAAAACCGGATTAACATCTTGCATTGGAGAGGCTGGGCAATTGCTCCATACAAGGATAGAAACAACACAAAAGGCAACAATGAAAGAAGGAGTGGGGAGAGGGTCACAAACATTGAAATGGGGACTAGATTGTAAAAAGACTGAACAAGGATTTAGCAGAATCTGAAATTAATGTGATAAATGGGAAATTAGTAAATACATGTGGAGTTAATTGTATTTAATATTTCAAATTATTCCATTATTTTCTGGTTTTATCCTAGATATATGGCTTCTTAGGAGAATAGTCTTCTAGGTGCCTGAAATACCAAACTATATCTTAAGCCAAAATTGCCCCCTTTAAAAAGACACAGTAGTGGTAGATGAAGAAGTCTAGTAGAAAAAAATGATACTGTTCTGGAAATTAGAAAAACAAGATTTTTTTCATGAAAAAAGTGGATACATAGATCTTATATGGAATTTTTATTCAAGTAATATATTGGTCAGCAAAGTGAAATGCAATATACAAAGTACATTTTGAATTGACTACCAACAATATCTACACATGTAATCAAGATTATATTACTGTACATATTTCATTTTACAGGATTTGTTTTATATTCCTTGTCCTACTAGCCATGTAATGAAAAGCAAATGCTATATTGTCAAATGGCTAATAAATATTGTATGACTTTAGGTTATCTAAAATGGAATACATTTGTTCTTGTATAGATTGTAGGTCTAGATGTTTATTCAGACATCACTAGACTAGTCTTTGATATCCTGGTTTTTTTCCTGCTATATTTTTCTGTCATTCTTTCAAATTATTAACTTTCTAGCTTAATTATGTCCATGATTGTTTGGATGTAAAATCCAAGAAATGCATTAAGATTTTATTTCTCAGTAAATATGCATCCCACAGGGCAATAGCCATGATTGGATTTGCATTCATCAACTGGAAAACTTGTTCTTTTCCATAAGCACAACTCAGTTCATATCCCATGCTGTTTCTACAACATAGTCTTTACTACAAAACTGAACTCTGCTTGAAATCTTTCAGTTAAACCATTCTCAAGACTGTTTCTATGTATACACAATATAAGTTTTATAAAATGAGATTGTTTGAATTCACTTTCCATGGAGTAGGATGTTTAGAGTTGGTCTTACTATTTTTGTACAGATTCATATTGTTAACAGTTTGCTTTACTGTCCTTCTGATAAAAAAAAGATATAGCATTCCAAAGACTGGGGACTTATTTCCAGCCATTGTTAATCTCTCCTTGATTAAGTAAAAGCATAACAATAATAATTGATATGCAAAAGTTAAATCCAAACTGCATGCACAAAATATTGCTTTAAAGTTCAAATCTACCTAAATTTATCTGAAAATATATATCATTTAACCTTTAAATATAATTCTAAGAGTTAGATTACAAGATGGTATCAGAAGCCCAGATGTGGTATACAAATTATATTGGTTTTCAATTATTAGACATATACATGGTAAGTAAATAAGTTTAAAACTATTGAAATATAGATTTCTGGTTGTAGTGTATTTTGCAGTGAAGGAAACGAATATGTCAAATCGAAATCTGATGTATCAATGAATCACATATTCACTGAACAAAAGTAGAGTCATGGGCATTTCAGTTGCTGAAGAGGGATACAGTAACTTTTCAATTATTTATACCTACACCATACCCAAATGCAAATTAATTTATTCCCTAACTCTGAGTTTTCTGCATTTCCAAGATAGTAGCAGAACAGTGCAATAATCTTCCATGGACAAAACAACCTATTAACATTACATATTGTTTTATACATGTATTCTCCGGGGAAAACAATCTACTGAAGAAATAGTAAGAAAAGCAGTATTGCTTTTAAGAAAAACTATATAGGTGAAGAAGCACACTAAGATCAAAATAATTGTAACACTGCAGAGAAAAGTAAGGATGTCAGTCATTTTCAACACTTCTAGGACTTGAGAAGAAGCAGTACTATAACAACTTTAATGATTTTAAATTCACTAGGGACCACATGAAAGTACCCAGAATATTAGGGACTTTTTTACATACTATCAGAAGAGCATGTTGTATATCATATGTTTCTAGCAATATTGGAAGTGCATGTATTTTAAAAATAGTTTGTTCCTACTATGTTTATAGTATTCATGCACGCAACAACACAGTTTTGGAAACAATATTATGGTAGAGCATCTTCTCAGATTTAGGGCTCAAGTCAATTTGATGGTACATGGTGGGCACAGTGTCCTAATATCTTTCATGTTCTAACAATACTTTACAATCCAGAAGTTGTCGTTTATACTCCTTCAAATTCTAAAAGCTGCTGATTTATGATTCTGTGCGATAGCTGCGATGACTGTCACCAATAAGCTGGGTTTTCTCAGTTGTATTTGTTGGCTGAAGCAGAACTGGAGCTTCCCCATCTAAAACAGCAAGAATCAAGAATTAAATATCTCCATCTTCCATTCTTATTAACAAACATAGGTGGTAAGAAATTACTTCTATTTGGCAATACACAACTATTCCTAAATAACATGCAAACTACTGCCTTCCAAATACATTGGACTATACCCTCAGTATAGTCCTCAGTAAACCATATTTATCCAGGGTTTTTTTCTAACACATTTTGGGGAGGGCACCAAGTTGGGGAAGATCACTCTTTATCCAGTTTCCCCTTAAATCAGCCATGCTTAAGTCTTACTAAAAAGATCTAAGTATATGCTTACGTTTCTCTGTTCAATTGACAAGTGCTTTAACTACATATTATTGTGAAAATTTATCTAGTTTTAAGAAGTGAAAAGCTTCAGAGCTAGAATTCTTATTTTTCTATGAAAGATCACTTCCTGTCCATCACTTCTTGTTTCCTGTCCATTCCCATTTCCAGCATAGACTTGTCTTTAATTCCTTTTGTACTTTCTTTGTTTCTACCCAACTCAATTAACACATTCTGATCCTCTTTCAAAATCCTATGCTCCACAGTACAGGAAAATCCTTCAGCCTACTAAATATCATTATATAATTGCACTACCTCCAAATTGGCTATATGCTTATTTTCACAGAAGATGAAGTACTGTTATTTAAAATAACAATATAGAACTAGGCAGAATAGGCAAGATTTGAGAGCACTAAATACAAGGAATTTCACAATTATGGTTTGAGTCACCTGGTAAAAAGTATACCTATCTAAAAGAAAGCTATTCCTGGGAATTCAGAAGGATTTGAACTTGGACATTTAGGAGTGGGAATAGGCATTTATGATGTGCTCCAGTCTAACTAGAACTATTGAATTCCTTTGCCAAAAGAATAATGGCACAGATTCCCAGTTTTGTGTGGAAAACAGGAAAATTGTACTTTGACCCCCAAAATATGTTTAATGTGGTTTAAAAACAGTGACAGATTCCCCTGCCATTCCCCCAAATCCTGGCTATTTCCATTTTACTTCATTTTCCTACCAACTGTTGCCTTTATCACCCCAAAAATGTTATGCCAGTCTCCTTGAAATCCTAGGTTTCTCAGCTCTAGTTAGGAAGATTTAGAAATAAAATAAAATTGCCATCTGGGCTTCATTTGTTTTAACTCAGATGCCATGTGAGGCATTTAAAATTCTTTAGAAGGGTATACATGCATAAAACATGGATGCATATTGTCAGTGGACAGTTTGCACATTCAAGAAATAATTCTATGATAAAGAACAGATTTTCAACTGCCCTGCAAAAAGTTCAATATTTCAATCAAGATTATTGTTTCAGCTACCATACATTTTCAGTGGATAAAATTCATTTTCTCTCAATTGTTTTTTCAATTGAAATGACACATCCCTCCTCAAAGCATATTGGCTATTATATATTCATAAGAGTTGACAAAATTGATTCTTCAGAATAAAAATCACCAACATTTTTCACCATGCCTAACTAAATAGCTTGACATTTGAATAGATTTGCATCAGTAGTGGGTTTCAATTTCAGACATTACCGGTTTGCTCGTTAGCGCAGGCGCTGCTTCTGTGCATGTGCAGAGATGTCTGGGTGGGTGGGCGGAACCTTCCACCACCGCCGCTACCGGTTCGCCCAATCCGGGGCGAACCAGTAGCAACCCAGCACAGATTTGCATATAGGTGTTACCTCCAGGGTTCCAAATGTATTAGAGTATGTGGTACAGTTCAGGAAGTTATCGACTTACAACCATTATTTAATGGCCATTCTAAGTTATAACAGCACTGAAAAAAGTGACCCATGACCGATTTTCTTAAGTATGATTGTTGCAGAATCCCCATGGTCACATATGATCAAAATTTGGAGGCTTGTCAACTGTTTCATATTTATGATGGTTACAGTGTCCTGGAGTCATGTAATCATAAAATAGGCCACAACTCACTTAACAACTGTCTTGCTTAACAACAGAAATGTTGGTCTCAATTGTGGTTGTGAGTCAAGGACTACCAATACAGAAATCCTGAGGTTCACTTGATGTAAGCGCTAACCAGAGACTGAACTTTTTTTAAAAAGGGGCTGTCAGACGTAAATGCCTTATTCTCTAATGTGTAAATAATATATGAACAGGGTATCAGGGGTTAACTTATTCTTCACTTCTTAATGTATTCATAATTCACCACTCCCACTTATAGCTCCACCCATTGTATATATAAGGAGCCACCTACACCCTTTTCCTTGCTTCTATCTGTGAATATTCAGTGAATATAGAATGCCTATTGTAAATAAAAGGAAATATATTTAAACCTTTAACTCTTACTAATATTATTGAGTCTGATCCTGAAAATATTGCAACAAAGCTGGTAGCAGAGGATGGTTAATTGACTCAATAAAAAACTTAAAATGTCTAAGAAAGATAGGCCCAACACCAGGGCCTACAGCAAAGAAATGGAAACAGAACAAGAAATAATCAACGAATCCACAAACGCAATTTCGAGAGAATCCGAAGAATACACCACTGAAGACGAAGAAATAATAGATGAAATTGATGACCAGAAGGAAATCGAAATAGAGAATAACGAACTCAGGTCAGAGATATTAAAACTATTAAAGAGCCAGAAGAATGATGAAAGCCTCATCGCGAAACTCCAAGATATGCTGAAGAACAGCGGAGCAGCGAGAGAGAAAAACATCACTAATGAAAAGTCTAAAGACCCAAAAATAGTGAGTGATATGACTGCAGAGAAAGTCATTACGAAGAAGAAAAACGGTGATCCCGCGCGAAATTTGAATGGCAGCCATCTTGGTTTCAACAGGCCTCCAGGGTGAGCGAAGCAGAGCCAATCAAGATGCTCAATTCAAAATTTCTGGCACGAAAAACGTTATCAAACAACGAAAATGAAAAAGAAGATTCAAACTCCTCAGAAGAATCAGAATCAGAAAGTGAAGATGATTCAACAAACTCCCAAATAAAATCAGCAATGAAAACGCTTTTTGCTGCATTTGGGCCAAAACTAAAAATTAACAAACAGCTACCGAAGAAGCGAGCGAGCAAGCCGATGCCTCAAGACCTGCCCGCTCCCATCCTGACTACGAGAACGCCGACGCCCGAACCCAGAGAATCCTGCCGGTACCGCCCTACGCCACAGACCGAAGCAAGCACCAAAGCCCTCAGGGAAGAGGAAGAGCAGCCGCCGTCGTCAAGACTCCCAAAATCGAACCAGAGACCGATTCATCTGAAGAGGAGCAGAACGAGCGAGCCACAATGGAGAGAACCTTCCACGACGACTCCAAAGAAGAAATGGACAACACGCATGCGCAAAACTACGCAGACGGTCCGGGAAGACATGAACTGGCGAGGAGACCATGCAGACTCGTTGCGAGCATCCCCATGCCGTTTTGCAATTTTCTACACTTGCGAGACCACGGACTACCTCAGGTTGTAAGTAATGGACACAATAATGTCGGAAATTTACCCAGTGACTTCCCAAAGCTAAGGGTTGATGGCATTAATTTGCAAGAATGGTATCAACAGCTCCAGGTTGTCTTTATGAAGGAAAACTTATTATTTTTTATCACTAGTCCCCCAAAAAGACCTTGGACTCTAAAAATAGATTGTTTACACCATAGAGCATTTTTCTTAATAATATCTAGTGTGTCTCCTGCAATGTATCATAGCATTAAGCCAAATCTGACTGTTTCAGAAATCATTCAATGCATGTTTAATTTGTTTCACAGTGACAGTGTAGCTACCACCACAAGGATGTCTAAAGATTTCTTTTCATCTAGGGTAAAACCAGGGGTTTCCATAAGTGAGCATTTAATATATTTAAACAAAATAAGAGCTGAGCTGCATTTGAGGGGGGAGGTGATTTCAGACCAAACAATGAAAAGTGTTATTATCAACTCACTTGATTCATCATGGGACAATTTTATGTCACATTTAGACACTATCAACCTAGGATATTTATCCATAGAAAGTCTATCCAATAAATTGATAGCAGAAGACAATTCAAGAAGGAATCGTTCTAGCAATCACACAGAACACAAACCATATAGGAAAGTAGCTTTCCAAGAAAAATATAATGAAACATTTAAATGCCACAATTGTGGATCCAGGGAACACAATAGAAGAGACTGTCCCAAAATTTCAAGAGAAAGGCATAGGTCAAAATATAGAAACAAATACAATTATAGACAGTCTTCCATAGATAGACATAGATATAGGAGCCCACCAAATTACAAAGAGAATAGAGGGGGCAGAGATAATTCAAAGGATAGAAAATCTGCCTCACTGAACGGGCTAAATAAACAAGACAACACTAACATACAGCAAAATGAGAACAATAATTGGCTTATTGATTCTGGAGCAACTAATCACACCACTAATAACAAAAATATATTGTCTTCATTTGCAGAAGATAAATTTGTAATAAAGGTAGCTAACCAAGAAAAGGTGCAAGTATTAGGTAGAGGGAATGTAACCTTGCCTGGTCTAGGAAAAATAGAGGGGGTATTGCTAATACCTGAGATACCTCATAACATACTAAGTGCTATAAAACTAAGTAGAGATTCTGACATTAACATTGTTTTTTCAAAAGGAAAAGCGATTTTGGAGAAGAATAAAATAAATATAGGCACAGTGATGATTAAAGGAGGCCTACCTTATCTGATAACTAAGGAAAAATGGTTGCATAACATTGACTCAAATATGGAAGATTGTATTGAAGTAGATGATGAAAATATTAGCAATAGTGACAATGATGAGTGTAAAACATCTCATGATCACAAAGATGCACACAATGAAAAAAAACCAAAAATAGGTAAGCCAATTCATGATGAGTGTGCTCACATCTTACATAGGAAGTTAGGACATGCCAGTTTTCCTGTAGTACAAAAAAATGACTGAACACGCAGAAGGTGTTAAAATAAAAAATTGTGAAAACTATTTGGAATGCTCAGTATGTAAATCTACAAAACTAAAAACTAGCCCCAGGCCAAGAAAATCTACTAGATCAACTAACAAAATTTTTGATTTAGTACACATGGACTTAGTTGGTCCATTAACTCCATCAATCACTTATAGAAAACGTTACTTCCTGACAATAGTGGACGATTATAGCCGCTATGGGTTTGTTTATACATTAAAACACAAAGATGAAACATTTCAAAAATTTAAAGAATTTTACAAAACGCATAGAAACACAACACAACATCAAAATAAAACAAATTATGACAGATAGGGGATGCGAATTCATGTCTAAAGAATTCTCCCAATGGTTAAAAGACAAAGGAATGTTACATTACACATCTAGTCCATTTTCTGCGTTCCAGAACGGGATTGTAGAGAGGAAAAATTCCACATTACAAACCATGATTAGATGCACATTGGAAGATGCTGGCTTAAGCAAACAATTCTGGTCAGAAGCCTTACATTATTCAAATTACACACAAAATAGAACATGGTCCAGCATTGTAAATAAGACACCATATGAAGTGATGTATAATAGAAAACCAAAATTAGCACACATGCATATATTTGGAGTCACTGCAGACGTACACATACCTAAACAATTAAGAAGAAAGGGAGAAAACGTATCCAGAAGACTCAGATTTATGGGATATGAAACCGGTACTAAAGGGTACAGATTCATTGATAACAATAACAAATTTATAGTCTCCAGAACAGCTGTGTTCCATGAACAGGCTAACTGGTCTAAATTACATCTTAATGAAATATTTCCAAATAAATATAAAGGTACAAAATCTCATGAAGAAGGGATCATAGAAAAGCAAAATATCAACAAAAATAAGAACAAAACCAAAATTTGGACAAATAGCCCAACACAAAATTAAGACAGACACATTAACAAAAAAGGAAGCAAGATATTTGCATGATAACGATAGTAAACCTGAAAAAACCATTAGAAACACCAGAAATCAAATGCCAAATAAATACAAGGATTACATAATGCATATGGATGGTGAGCCAACAACACCCAATACATATGAGGAAGTGTTAAAACTCCCTCGTGAAGAAAAGGAAAAATGGGAATTAGCGATGAAAAAAGAGATGGAAAGTTTACAAGGATTAAATGTATTTACACCTGCAATTGCACCTAAGGATAAAACAATTATTGGTACCAGGTGGATATATAAAATTAAGAACTTAGAGGGAGGCAATACTCTATACAAAGCTAGACTAGTTGCACAAGGTTATGCACAGAAATATCGGAGGACTATACTGACACGTATTCCCCACAGTAAGAACAGAGAGTGTCAAAACAGCTCTAGTGGTAGCATCAGCACTCAACCTTGATGTATTTCAATACGACATACAGACTGCGTATCTACACGCTAAACTAGATAAAGAAATATACGTAAGAGCACCTCACAGTCAATACACAAACAAAAATGAAATTTGGTTGTTAAACAAGAGTTTATACGGGTTAAAACAATCTGGTAAACGATGGTATGATTGTTTAGTGAAAGTACTTAGAACCATGGACTTCAACGCTACTACTGCTGATAACTGCTTTTTTGTCAAAAAGGATGATGATTACATTGAATTTGTATTGATTTATGTGGATGACATTTTATACATAGGAAAACATAAAGAGAGAAGAGAAACCTTTGTAACCAAACTAAATGAACATTTCTCGTTAAAATCTCTAGGTAAAGTAAACAAATATCTTGGTGTCCAAATTAATAAGACTAGAAGAGGATTCAAACTTACTCAGAGAGATAAGATTGTAGAACTTTTAAATAAATGCAATTTAAACAATGCCAAACCTTGTGATACTCCTATGCAAACTGATTTTCTAAGAAATCTGATGAATCTTCCCCCGAAATTCAAGGATAACACATTTTATAGATCAATCATAGGTTCACTTCTTTATATATCTAATTGGACTAGACCAGATATCGCCTTACCACTCAATCTATTATCCAGACATGTCAGCAAACCAACAATGTATCACTGGGAAGCTGTTAAAAGAATTTTAAGATATCTGAAAAGTACACTAGACTTTTGCCTAATATTAGAACCTAAAGACAATAAAGAACCAAAGCTTACATGTTATGCAGATGCAGACTGGGCTGGAGACACCTCATGTAGAGAAAAAGTACATCTGGTTATATATTTCTCTTAAATGACTGTCCAGTTTACTGGTACACTGGTAAACAAGAACTAGTGGCCACTTCAACGACAGAAGCGGAATATGTTTGTTTATCCAAAGCTGCAAATAACCTTGTATGGTTTAATGATTTAATTTCAGATGTTTGGAAAAAACCTGTTTTGCCTTTTGTTATGCATGAAGATAATAAAGCAGCCATTGAAATATCTAGATCTGATGCCATTGGACAAAGGTCCAGACATATAGATATAAAATTTAAACATGTGAGACAATTATCTCAGGATGGATTTATTAAAGCAGTGCATTGTGATACCTCAGAACAATTAGCTGACATATTGACAAAGCCTTTACCTTCTAAGCAACACAAATATTTAACTTCTAAGTTGTATGTATTGTATTGTCCTGAATCTGAGTGTAATTGGTGTTGTATAACGAATCGGCATTTAGAGGGGGATTTGTCAGACGTAAATGCCTTATTCTCTAATGTGTAAATAATATATGAACGGGGTATCAGGGGTTAACTTATTCTTCACTTCTTAATGTATTCATAATTCACCACTCCCACTTATAGCTCCACCCATTGTATATATAAGGAGCCACCTACACCCTTTTCCTTGCTTCTATCTGTGAATATTCAGTGATATAGAATGCCTATTGTAAATAAAAGGAAATATATTTAAACCTTTTAACTCTTACTAATATTATTGAGTCTGATCCTGAAAATATTGCAACAGGGGCTTTTTGTGTTTTGCTGATGTTTGTTGGGTTAGGAGATCAGGCACCTGAAATTTTACTCTTTTTAAAAAGATTCATTGCTGATTTCAGAATCTATTTATGAACAGGATTTTTTTAAAAAAATGTAGTGTTCTATTTATCATATTTCTCCTCCAAATGCTCTTCCTTCTAAACCTCACCTTAGCATTATAAAGGAAACATTATTAATTTATCAGTTTTCTGCTCTGCTTTATCATTTGAAACAATCCTGAATCTCCTGTTTCCTTTGCAGTGAAGCTAGTAAAATTGAGTAGTATAAAAATTATTCTGCACATTTTTAAACTGATAGTTACTTATAAGTAAGAAGGCAGTAAAATGGAACCCAGTTATTAAATAGCCAGGAACATAATGTGTGGAGCAAAAATAGGAACTGGGGAGATAGTGTCCCAAAGTAAAGCTGAAAAAAGATCATAATGCAATTCCGTTTAGCACTGCTTCACTTAACACCAAGTTGCTGATCCTAATTTGGTCACTAAACAAGGGCTACCTGTATGTCAAACAGCCTCAAACAACATAATATCTAAACCCATCACAAGTCTGAGAATTGCTGCCTAGTTAAAATCTCCCACTCATTGCTGTAATGGCTCATTGTCCTGTTTATGCTCAGTGAGTCAGAGAAGGAAAATTTGACGCTGGAAGAAAACTTTTAGGGTGCCTTTCTAGAGGTTAAGTCCTCTCCTCAAATCTGGTTAGTGGCTTTCTATTCTTATTTTCCTAGCAGTAAGAAACCAAGCATTTAATTTATATCATTTAATAGCTGATTTCTTTGCGTGAGAAGCTATTCAGATTTTTTTATTATTATTATTTCATATATTTAGTACTACTAAAATTTGGGAAGAGCTTTGCATATATTATATACACACACACACTCATACAGGTCATTTTGTTTCCAACTCAGGGGTGAAATTCAAAATTTTTCCCTACCGGTTCTGTGGGTGTGGCTTGGTGGGCGTGGCAGGGGAAGTATATTGCAAAATCTCCATTCCCATCCCACTCTGGGGCCAGCCAAAGATGGTTTTTGCCGGTTCTCCGAATTACTCAAACTTTCCGCTACTGGTTCTCCAGAACCTGTTAGAACCTGCTGGATTTCACCCCTGCTCCAACTTAGTCCTATTTAAATGAACCTATAAAACTTGGCTCTGCATCAGAGAGGTTGATAGATGCCTGTGTGATATTAAATGAATGTTGATTTTTCCAGACTTTCTCTTGATGACATAATTCTTTGTTATTACTGTTTTTTAATGTTGCATTTGTGAGCTGCAGAGTTGTACCAAACTTGAGTGGTCTATAAATCCCTTAAACACACACACAAACACAAACATACACATAATAGACACACATTAAAACATATACCTTATATGTTTATAAGCCTTATTTATTTATTAAATGTATTTACCGCCCATCTTGCTATTACACGATTCTGGGTGACATATGGCTAAAATTTTTATGTAAATCAGACTCTTGCTTTCCATTGCTACACTTCTTCACTCTACTTCATTTTACACTGAAAATAATAATATTCTTCTCATTTCAGTGCTCTATAATCCATCAGTTGTAACTTCTATCCTAGAAATTAACTAATCACATAAATCAGGATATTAACGAATTACCACCTTCTGAGCATTTAAAATAACCTGCACTGCAGATTGAGAGGAATTCAATTAACACTTCTTTGTATAGGATGTCCTTTCTCAAATTAAGATCCCCAAAACTGAGCAGCTGGAATAAAGACTTTGGGTACTCTTTTGAGAAAGTAAGAGAGGTTTCCTTTTTTTTTTTTTTTTTGGTTAAATAGTATAATCCATGATTCTACAATCACAGGTACCTTTTTCCATGTCTGTCTTGATTTGCTCTTCCAGATCTTCAGGAGACATGCAGAACTCTTGCTCTTCTGCTGTGGGCTTGGGTTTGCATTTTCCACAACAGCAATTGAAACAGCAGCACAGGCAGCAACAACAGTAGCACCCAGTCAAAAGACCACAAAGGGTGAACAGACCCTTAGAGAAGCAGAAAAGAGGAAGAAACGTATTGAGAGAGATCAGAATAGAGAAATAAATTCCTTTCTGGTTTGATTTAGGAAATATGTGCGTTGACCTCAAAGGTTTTAAAGGAGTCTTCCAGGGTTGACCAAAGAAATGTTGATACCCAAGAAACTTATATGGGCATTGACCTGCCCTGTTGCTGAAAGAAAGTCAATGGCTTTGACATCAGTGATTTGCTTGACCTTGCTTCTGGTGTGTGTGTGTGTGAGAGAGAGAGATAGAGAGGCGGGGGAGTGCTTGATTAAAGGGTCACCCTATAAACGTAACATTTTAAAAAACTAAGTGGAACTTACAGGTTACAATTTCCAGAGGAAATTTACTTCTGAGTATTAGTTGCTGTAAAGACAAAGTGAGATACAGTAATTCTACTGCCAACAGGGTAGAGGCCATCCAAATCTCAGAGAGATGCTGTTCCATAAGGGAGAAGGCATGCTTCTTACAGCCCACCAAATGACACTGCTTTACTGATGTGACCCAGAGCATTCCCAGTCTGCTTGATTTGGTGAGCAGACAAAAACTATTGGGAAGACGCAACAAGTAATTTCGCTCCATGCCATGTGGGGTTTTAAAGATGACAACCAGCACTTTAAATTGCCCTTGGAAGCTTACTGGGAGCCAATGCAGCTCATATAGCAGTGGCGTTATGTGATGTTCCATGTGATGTTCCATGCAACACCCAATACCGCATGTATCACTGAAAAACAACTGGAACTTCCAAATGTACTTACATAGTCTATAATGGGGAGTGACTATGGCATGAGATACTGTTAGTAGTCCCTCTCAATTTAGACATTGCTACAACTGGTGCATAAGATGTAATTGTGCAAAGGTTTTCCCTGTCACAATTGCCACCTGTTGAAGTAGGAGCCACACATCCAGGAGGACCCCCAAATTTTGTACAGCTTGTGGGGAACATAATACCATTTACCACTAATGATGGAGACTCACCAGATATGGAGGACTTACAGCTACTTAAGGTTCTGCCAGCATTGAGCCAGAGCTGGCTCTTCCCCATCAATACCTGCATGGCTTAAAGGCATTGGGAAAGTACCTCAGGGATATCACTTGGGCATCCAAGGACAGAGATGTATGCTGAGTACTGATGTACTTAATCCTTTGCTAATGAATGACCTTGGCCAATGGTTTCATGTAAATATTAAAGAGGAATAAATCAATGGCATATGGCTAGATTCCCCCCCCCCATTTTGACTGGAACCAGCAATGTAGGAAGAAGACCCACCAACTGTACCCACTTCTCCCTACTGTCTCACCTGGTCCAAAAGAATATAATAATCAATTATATTGAAATTGAAAGATCAAGAAGGAACAGGGTGGATACACCAACACCATCCCTATTCTGAGACTGCCAGAGGTTATCCACAAGCACAAACACGATCAGTGTCACTATATATTTTGGCCTGAAGCTTAACTGCAGTGGGTCCAAATAATCAGCTGCTTCCAGCTTCTTTGGAGTTGTAAACCTGCCACCTTTTCAAGAACCTTCTCCCAAAACGGAAGACTGGAGATTGAACAGAAATTGTCCAGTACTGGCCATGAATTCTCAAGCCACTTCCAACTCAGGATCAAGTGAAGGCAGGGCCTGATGAATTCTCTTTCAGCCCAACTGCAGAGTTAAGCAGCTCAGGCAGAAGGGTATTGTGTAGCAGGAATGCATGTACACAAGCAAGAATTGGTATTCTCTCTCCCTAGAACTTCATGTTCAAATCATGAATGAGGAACTTTAATTTTAATTTTAATTCTCCCATAGCAATTACTGTTTTAATCACTGTTTTTGTTTTTACATATTTCAAATGCACCCAATACATACCAGAAACCTGGATGGAAAGAACTAAAAACCCCAACCTTCCTTTGTGTGTGGAGTGGGAGTTTGTTATTTCAGGTGTTGTGATGCTTGGGGGGATTAGTTGAATGACCTTTTTTGCACTCTCCTGCAGGGAGTGATGATTAGTCATTTTCTGCCTGTTCTTAGCATCTCAACATCTGCAGAAGTGAAGACAGTTGAGTAATTTTTTTTTGTAGGGCTCAGAAATGAATGTGCAAGTGCTGCAAGTCACACCCAGGAGAGCCATACTATAAAGTTAGATCATAGAAATGAAATATAAAAATATAATATTTTATAAACTCACCCCTATTCAAAATGGCAAGCCTTGAGTGTCTATGTTCTAGCTAAATTAATAATATTGTCTTATCCAAAGGCTCTTATAACTAGAAATAGCAGTGAGAATAACACATAAGGTGTGAAATCTGGCACTTTTGGGATGCCTGAGGCCTAATATGTTTGGTCATACTGTGATGGAAATGCTAATGTGTGTGATAGGTATAAATGCCAAATCTTTACAATTACATAACAAACAAGATGAGTAAGATTTTCAGTGTCATCCGAATTGCAAGATCTATTTTTCTTGGGTCAATCCATTATGTTTTGTTCCAGAAAGGCCTCCTCAAATCTTCTACTTCCTTTTTCCAGCCCTTTTACAAGATATTTAAGGTGTACCATAATGATAAATCGTGTTACGTATTACAACTGCTTACGCATACACTACGCCATATATATATATATATATATATATATCCCAAAATAGGGATAGGTTTGTACTTTAATAACTGATTATCTGGTTGTCACGCCAAGAAGACTTTTCTCTTTGAAAAATGAGTCATTTTCATTTAGTCATTTCTGAGAAGAAAGTCAAAATTAACCTGGAGCTTTAGCTTCAGATATAATTAATGTCTTCAGGCAATTAAACGTCTATGCAGAATACTTAATTAGCAAATAAAAGAGACAGGGATATATCATTTAATAAGCACTTTACCGGAAGTATGGAGATAGAACAGCCATGTCATTAAAATTCCTGAGACTAAAACCTTTCCTAGATTAACTGATCTAGAACTCTGCAATGCTTAAGTGCAAATTCTGTGAAAGCTGTAACAGAAAGGCTAAAACAGATGATAACAAACCAATGATTGTGTGTTTCAGTCTCTGGTCTACCAGGTTTGCAGTTAAATACTTACTTTTGCCCACCAACTAGAAAGCATGAAATATGTATTGACATTTTCTTCACCAAACTGTTCAGCGATGTACAGCCCTAATGATCCATATTGGTCATATATATTTCTTTTTGACACATCTGTTAATATTGCATGAGCATTGTTAATTTCTTTAAATTTTTCTGCAGCCTCTGGGTTATCTGGGTTCTTATCAGGATGATATTTCAGGGCCAATTTCCTTTGATAGAAAAGGTGAAGGACAAAAAAAGAGATGAAGATAACATTAGAAACAAGACAATGTCTTCTTTGAGAAGAATGTATAAACCACCTAATGTTAGATTTAGATCCCTTGTAAACAGAGGAAAAAAATACCTTCATGGTGCTACTTTGTACATGAAATAATTGTTCAGTATTCTAGCTGACATTTTTGCTCATTTTAATTTTTTTTAAATTTCTAATGTCCATACTGTCATTTATTTTTAGTGGGTCTTGATCAAATCACAAGCCCATTCCATTCTTTTATTCCAAAATTCCATTTGGTATTATAAAGATAATCCAAGGTTGGAGAAGGAAATATTTACATTTTAAAAAATATGATATTAATAAAACCAAATTCTGTTCTGAAATTTTATTCCTTATGGAAAACAACATTGACATATTTCATCTCTAAACATAATAATTTTGTTCTCTTATTTTGTCTGAACCTAACAATGTATCTTTCAACCATTATAACAGATATTTTGAAGATTCTGTTGCAGACCAAAACAAGCTGAAGGCATGGGTGTAACAACTTGTTCCTACAGCCTTTCAGAACTTTCAACGGCATAGAAAATTAGTTATGCAAATAAAGTAATGTTGATGTTAAAATTCTTATAACTCTCCCCCTTATAGAAAATATGGCATTTACACCACTATTTCACTAATTCTCTAGTCCATTTCTGAATAGGGCCATAGATTTTATTCAGAGTTTTTGCCTTAGTAACAAACTTGGAGAAATTGCCTACTACACAACAAAACTAGTAAGTAAGATACTAACATGGTAAAGAAAAGAATAGTAAATTTTATCTTGCCAAAAAAATTCTTAAATAACAAATTTCAGACCAACAAAAACCCAACACAGTAGAGAAACACATTCTACACACATACACACAGAGAGAGATCTTTATTCCCAGTTCACTGACTAGATTCACACATTGTACCAAGCCATGGTTTGTTTAAATTATATTTCAGATTAGGAAGGGGTGTTTTTTTTGCGGTGGGGGGGGGAAGGGAAACCACATAATTTATAAAGTCAAACTCAAACAAATGGCATTATAGCCTAGCATAATATATGTAGTGGGAGCATCATAATTAACTGTCTTTACATGATAACATTGTATAAATAAATCCATAAAAATGTGTTTAAAATCCATAAAAACCATGTTCAGAGTTTGATATTATGTTAAATAGAAATTAGATATTCAGAAGTTTGAAAATAAAGTAAATGTATTAAATCAGTTACATTTGGAAAAGCACCAGATTTGTTCTTTCTGTATATTACCAAAATATGGACAACTTGTAAAAAAAAAAAATCAAAGCATTCTTAGAAGATCAGCAGGAATTGAAACAGTTCTTCACATACAAATAGTTTTAAAATGTATTTTAAGATCCAGATTGGATCTTGCAGTTTTAAAATGTTTTGCAATAATGATTGCTTTTTCAATGTCATGACTGAACGTGGCTAATTGTTTTGTAGAAATGCTATTTCAAGTATCCCTGACTATCTGTGTATTCAGAACTTGAGCAGGGAAATTTTGACATGTTATATGACTCTAATTGTGTTATTTTTGTAAGTTTTAATTTTTATATTAATGACATTGGAAATATTTTGTATACGATATCACGAAGAGAGCAAAAGAATGGAAATGTAAATGGGTTGGTCACATAGCAAGAAGAACTGATGGCAGGTGGACCAAGGCAGTCATAGAATGGATCCCATTTGATAAAAAGCATCCACAAAAGAGACCTAAAACAAGATGGCTTGATGACATCAGCAAGTATTGCGGGCCCAATTGGCAAAAGAAAGCTAAGGATCATATTGGTTGGAAACATGCAGAAGAGGCCTTCATCCTGTAGTGGATAGACAGTGGCTAAAATGATGATGATGATGATGATGATGATGATGATGATGATGATGAAGTAAATATGCCCACAGTTAACAAAGGTGACCAAGATAGGCAGTTTAATTACTGACAGTTACTGTTGCTCAGAAGACTTAAATAGCTTAAGTGTGTTCATTTGTAGACTAGATATTATTATTGTTACACAAAATTTTTTAAAAACCACATGGTACTGATCTAGATAGAATGCTTAACAGAACTTGGAACTCATAAAAAGCAGCGAGAAAGTTAAGGGATAAAACAGGAAGGCTACAAAAGAGTTTATTGAGTTGCGGAGGAGAGGCATGAAAAAAGCCCTCAGAGTAAGTGCACTAGGTATTAGTTATGTAGAAGAATTACTCTGGAAAGTTTTTGAAATCAATGATGATGCTACTTCACTAGTCCATTTCTGAATGGACATAATCATCCCTATTGGGCTCCTTCCAAATTGTTAAATACATCAGGAATGGAAATCCAGAATTTGAAGAATTTGAAGAAGGAGGAGGAGGAGGAAGAGGAGGAGGGGGAGAAGGATGATGATGATGATGATGATGATGATAATAATAATAATAATAATAATAATAATAATAATAATGTACAATTTATTGACATCGCGGTAGCAGGAGATGCCAGAGTCGAAGAAAAAGAACTGGAAAAAATCATGAAATATCACAACGTGGCCATCGAAACTACACGGCTATGGATGAAACATGTAATAGTGATACCCATTGTCATTGGGGCACTTGGTACCATGTCTAAGAATTTTATAAGATACATCAACAAATTGCAGCTTCCTGCAATAATACCAGCGGAACTGCAAAAAACTGTGCTACTTGGAACATCGTACATTTTAAGAAGGTACTTGGTTAATACCTAGGACGCTGGCAGCAACCCGTATCAACCGTTAGCATCAGTCAATGGTATTTGTGATGCATTTTTGAATGTTCAGTTGACTGAGTTTCACATTTAATGAATAAAGTAAATAATAATAATTCTGTATTGGCCAAATGTACTGTATTTAGACACACAAGGAATTTGTCTCTGGTGCATATGCTCTCAGTGTACATACAACAATAGTGATAAATCATTATTATAGTCATTGTAAAAATACATTGTCATTAGTTTATGAATCTACAGTTTTCCTGGATCACTTCTTGATTAGTTTTATATAGTGGTGGGCAACCATTAGATAAGCGGGGGAGGAAATGGCATTTAATGGTTTTCTGAGCAATGAAGGCAAAACAATAATTCAAAGTGTATGGAACTATATCTTGCATTCAAAAGGACCAGGATTTTCTACAGGAGCAGTGTAGGTAGAGATGTAGGGGACTGGATTACTTTTAAAGTTCGGCTTTTAGATCTACACTTCAGATTGTTCATGGCCCCATCTCAAAATAAAAGGAAACTATACTCTGCAAGGCAGATGGATGGGATCCCGGGCTCATGAAAAAGAGTTTCAGAGTTGGCACAGGGCCCTAGGATTGAAAGTTGTTCACCCAAGTTACTTGTGCTACTGAGAGGAAGTAGGGGATAGAAAAGTAGTATGTGGGATTCAGGACATTTATCAGTGGTGAAATGTAAAAATTGTTATTACCAGTTCTGTGGGCATGGCTTGGTGGGATTGTTTTTTTTTGATGTGACTGGATGGGCGTGCCCAACTTTTTATTTTTCCTTTTAAAAGCATTTTTTCTTTTCGGTCGAAGAGATTGCAAAAAAATGCTTTTAAAAGGCTCTGATGATCCCAGCTGAGTTGCCTGATCATCAGAGGCTTTTGTTTTCTTTTAAAAGCTTTATTTTTGTTGCTTTTAAAAGAAAAAAAGCCTTTGACAATCAGGCAACTCAGCTGGGATCATCAGAGCCTTTTAAAAGCATTTTTCTACAACCTCTTCAGCCGAAGAGGTTGTAAAAAAATGCCTTTAAAAGCCTCTGACGATTAGGCAACTCAGCTGGGATCGTCAGAGCCTTTTAAAAGCATTTTTTCTACAACCTCTTTGACTGAAATGCTTTTAAAAGTTAAAAAAAAAGCCTCTGATGATCGTGCGGCTCAGCTGGGCATGGGGGGGGGCAAGGATTTTTGCTACCGGTTCTCCGAACCACCCGCTGCCATCACTATCGGATCAGGTGATCCAGTCCGAACCAGAAGCATTTCACCCCTGACATTTATACAAATTAGTTGTTTCCTTTGTGCATCCTGTGTGGGTCAATGTGCCCTAGCACTGTTCTCTGACTCAAAGCAGGTCAAGTCTTAATTGGAAAACATGTTAACTCTTTTGCAGATAAAATGATATCAAAATGAAAAAGAAGCATCATGTAGCGGTACCACGTTTATGACATTTAAAACATAGATGGTTATGTTCTGGCAAGCACCGAGCTAACTAATAACAATAGGAAATTTGAAGTCAGGTATTCTATGATTATTATACTGCATTGTCAAGTGCTTACTTCAGCAGCAGGTTTTTAGATTCATGAAGCAAATTAACATAAGTTAAAGGATCATTTAGATGAAATCCAAGAGTCTGACTCATCATTTTGCCTTGCAAGTATTTACAACAATTCCATTAAGTGTGAATCCCTTTGATATTTCCACTTTATTCAGAAGCAGCCTTTGTTTTTACCATAATTGCTAATATAGATGGATAAAACACCACTGTCAGTTTTGCCATAGATTGTTATGTAAATGATCGCTATTCATGTACAGGGCAAAATGAAATTCAGTTCACTTTGCATTCTTCCATGACAACTCTCCCCTTATGGGATTAGAGAAACTTTTTCTTCTCTTCCACATGGAAAAACAACATTGAGCATTCAGATATGATCACCAGTTTCAAGGATACATCTGATTGGTAGCCAGCAAGGAAAACCAGTAGCCATTATTGCAGTTCTAAATATTCAGAAACTGTTCCAGAAGAAAGAGAGCTCTGTTAATCCCCAGACAAAGCAATGAGTCCTTCGGGAGTAGGGTGGTATAGAAATTCAATAAAATAAATAAATAATAAATAATGAAAAACCCTGAAGATGCCATAAGATTTCATTTTTTGACAGATAAAAGTATATGCTGTTTTAATGCAGCAAAGGGTTATAGAGCAGGAGTGAAATCCAGCAGGTTCTGACAGGTTCTGGAGAACTGGTAGCGGAAATTTTGAGCAGTTCGGAGAACCAGCAGCGGAAATTTTGAGTAGTTTGGAGAACCGGCTAATAACACCTCTGGCTGGCCCCAGAGTGGGGTGGGAATGGAGATTTTGCAATATCCTTCTCCCATGAGTGGGGTGGGAATGGAGATTTTGCAGTTTCTTTCCCCTGGAGTGGGGTGGGAATGGAGATTTTGCAGTTTCCTTCCCCTGCTATGCCCACCAAGCCACGCCGACCAAGCCACGCCACACCCACCAAGCCACGCCCACAGAACTGGTAGTAAAAAAATTTGGATTTCACCACTGTTATAGAGGTTGTATTATTAAGAAATGGCACCAGGTTGTGTTTTATGCCAAGAAGCCTGTGTAGTGACGTTTTTTTCCCCATCAAGTTTTTATTTTTTTTTTTATTTATACATATCATTATGTGGATAGTGTGGTGTTTGAGTATCATACATTTCAATACAGATAAACATATTCATAATTATTACATTCCATTTTCCTCATTCCATATTGTTTACCCCTATCTTTTACGCAAAAATTTTATTTTCATATAAATATTAACAAGTATGCAATAACGTCCACTGTATTATCTTTTGTTATAATTTCAATAGTATAACCCTCAAGTAGAAAAAATACAAAATTGCCCATCTGTTTTCTTTTCTCCTGTATACCATATTTCACCCAATTTTACAACAACAATCCATCTCTTTTCCTCTTCTTTTTCCTCCCTCTTTTCTCTTCCCCCGCTCTTTCTCTCTACTTCCCTCCTTCCTTCTCCTCTTTTTCCCTCTACTTCCCTCTCTCCTACTCCTTCTCCTCTGCCCTCTTCTATTTCCCCTCTCTCTTCTTCTCTGCTTCCCTCTCCTTCCCTTTCCTCTCTTCTCCTCCCCTCCACTTCTCTCTCTCCTTTCCCCTCTCTACCCTTACTCTTTCTCCCCTCCCCTCCTACTCCCTTCCACTCCACTCCATTTCCCTCTCTCTTTTCCTTGTTGTATATAATATTCCCAATACCTACAGGATATGATGTATTTTCCAATTAATATCTCTTTCATCTATAACTATACTTCTTAAAGTTACATTCAGAAATAAAAGAAACAGACTTAGCACTTAAACATGTGTTATTGATAATAATAATAATAATAATTATAATATCATCATAATATTGATTAATCTTCATGTTAATAAATTTACACACATCATCATTCTAATCATATGCCATATTTTTCGGAGTATAAGATGCTCCCGACAATAAGATGCATCTAGCTTTTTTGGTGAGGAAAACAAGAAAAAGAAATCTGCCTCTGCTTCTGCCTCCCAGCAATTTTGCCTCGTTGCAGCAAACAGCAAATAGCCTGCTTTACTTTCATTTTCGTTTTCAGCATAGCTTGATTAGCACAAGAAAAAAAAATCTGCTCCCAGCAATTTACCTCCTTGCAGCAAGCAGCAGAGACCCGCGCAAAAAGCTGAGTGTGGGGAGGCCAATCCAATTAATTTGTACTATTTAGGCTGTGCTGAAGCTGAAAAGAGCTGTTTCTTCTTGCTGCTTGCTGCAAGGAGGTATACTGCTGGGAGGCAGAGGCCAAAGGGTGGGGGCCAGTGGGTGGACGGGGCTACATTCGTTGTATAAGACACACCTAAATTTTCACCCCCTTTTAGGGGGGAAAAGGGTGCATCTTATACTCCAAAAAATATGGGTGTATATATACGCAACTACAATATTATTCTTTTAATAATTTCCATCATTTCATTGATCAAACAGCATACTGTCTGAATACCAGTTTCTTACATCCTAACATTTCAAGTTTACTGCCATTTTCATTCTTTGTGTTTATTTTTCATGTTTCTTTTCTTAACGTAGTTGACTTTGTGATACACTGCTTTACACCCTTCCATTCTAAACTTCCACTAATATTTTTCCCCCTCCACATTTTTATATTCAAGGACATGATACTCTGTTTTGTTATTCATATTCCCAATATTTAACTCTTCCTCTCTGTATATTTTAAAGTTTATTAATACACATAAATATATCTACTTTCCCATTACCTACACAATAGTCATATTTTATACACTTTTAATAATACCATCATTCAACCTCTCATTTCCAATGAATAATGAATTCTCATTCATAATTTTCTAGTTTCATATCTATTTGTGGTAATGTTTATCCTAATATTTATTTATATTAAATACCAACTAATTGTCCAGCCTATATCATTCTAATATTAATACAATTATTAACATATAATCATGACATATCTATAACTCTTTTTCTCCCCTTAACCATTATCTCTTATCCACATCCCATCCTTTAATCCTACCTTTTTTTTTTACTTGCCTCCCCTGTTTTCCTCTTAAATCTTTTATTCCATCTACTTTGAAGTTTATATTCTGAATCCATAATTTAATTTTTTCTCCTTGCCCTGTTTTTCTCCACTGTTTAATTTGAAAACTTTCTGCTCTAAATCCTATCGCTTCCCTCCAAAGAGAAGGGAGGTCGCGGATCTTGCTTCTGAAGGCACCGGATGTTCAACCAGAAGTTGCCTATGTAGTGACTTGAGGGAATGGATTACTTGCACACAGAATCATGGAGAGTAAGGGTTAGAAGCAACCTGGAGATAATTTCATCCAGTGGAGGAACCCATTGCTACAGTATCCCTAACATAATTTATTCAGTCTCTATTTAAACATCTGCATCCTGGAGCAGCTCTATGCATTCCACGTTTTTTTCCCCTCTTCCTGATCTTTATCTCCTAGCTTGCTGTCCTCAGGATATGCTATATTTTATCAACACCCTTCCTAAAATACAGTACCTGCATCTAGGTTTTGTTTTGTTTTGTTTTGTTTTTTAAAAACACATTTAGGCATATTGTGGTGATATATTTGATGAATCGGACTAAGCCAATGGTCTGGTTGCCACATTATCTTGCAGTGTAAACTACCCAATATCCCACTTTGGTTCACTGAGAGCAGTGAAAAGAAAATATTTTGGTACCATGCTTTTAAAGTGGATTTGCTTTTGGCTGGTCTCCTGTGATTTTATGTTATATGTACGTTACATCTAGTCATTCTGAATGTGAAGAACTGGTACTCAAGAATTCTTGGTTTTTTAAAATCCTTCCCAGTGCTTTCTATATATTTATTTATTTTTGCTGCAAAATATTTTTAGGTTCAAACCATTTAAAAGTTTAAATTTTTAAATGGTTTGAATCCCATATTCTTGGGTTATTATTTAATAAACAAAATATTGGTATAATTAATTTACCTCCTACACATTATAATATTCACCTTGATGTATTTATTGAGGTCAATATAAATAATTTAGGAAATGCTTAAGATGAAAATATATTTTAATCACTTGTAGAATTAACCTAAGCTTCATATAATGAGGTGTTTATATTATTAATACAATTTCATGTTAACTATTAAATGTTTTTTAATTAGGAATTGTTAAAATTCATTCTTAGATATGTATTTATTTATATAATGGACATATTATATGCACTGTTTGGATTAAATTTGCACAACTTTTATCTCCGGTCTTCTCATAATAGTGGCAAATTCAGTGTTTACATTAAGATTTTTCACAATCTTTAAAGTAATAAACATATTTGAATTAAAAATTTTGAATAATGTAAAAGTCTAGGAAATAAAGCAGAGCTATTTTTAACTCTTATGATTTATCATTTTTAAAAGGGCTCTTCCTGTAACTTTATAAGGTTTACGTTTTCATTTGCAATACCGTTTTCATAACAAAGGTGAGTTATCATAGCATCAATAGCCATTTTGTTTTTGTTTTGTTTTGAAACATAACTGACACTATTGTAACTAATTATCCTAAAATGAAACATTTAAGCATGTCCAGTCCTGAAAGCAGTCAATTCACATTCAGCCCTTGAGCATCAACCCTCAAATAATCTGAGCACCTCTGAAAATAGTTGCGGTAAAAGAAGGTATTGATTTTTTTTTTTAATAGATATAAACAAATGTGAATGGGTAGGTAAACCTCTTGGTACTTAGCAAGTACATTAGATTTTCATAAATACCTGTAACTTTTCTTGATTTCTTCATGGGATGCCCCTTTTTCAAGACCCAGGAGTTCATAGAGAGCTTCTCCTGATGTAGATAAATTTCTCTGTCTTTGCTCAGCCATCTTATCAATGCATTTTCAAGAACTCTAATGTGAAAAAAAGGACATCCAAGAAGAAATGTTTATTATCGGTTAAGGAAACTCTGAAAGGGCTCCATATCTCATATTTTAGTTCTTATGCCACGACTGGTGGAACTTAGATGATCAGTGGTACAATGTGGCAAGCCACCTGGCTCTTAAATGTGTGCTGCAATATAGGCAACGGTTGGTGTTGGACCATTCCATAAACACAGTAGCTCCGCCCCAGTTTCTGACTCATTCCGTTGCTATGGCATGAACAGGTTAGCTCATCCTTTCCCTCCATGATGCATTGCTGCAAAGTTTGAAAGATATTTCCCAGTTTCATCTTTCATCTCATTTATTTTTGACATTTAAGGAATTAATTGCTGAATCCCATTAAGGGGTGCAAAGAAGTATGACTGTCTTGATTTGAAGACTGGAAAGTTACTGATTTAGAAGTATAACCTGAGCAATAATCTGAGGTATGTCTGCTTGTGTGCTTGCTTATTTACTTATTTATCCCTTATTTATTGGGACAGGCATGTAGCCTATGATTTTATGTTTAAAAATCAAGCCCATATATACTTAGGATATTGGCACTGGATGCCAGAAGCAGCTGATCACAATGTGATCTCGCAGGCTTACAACCAGTCCTTTGCAAAGTTGTGCTTGTGTTTCACTTTAGGGAATTGTCCCATTAATTGATTTTAAAGATAAAAATCAGGCAATGTAAATCTCTCCATTACACATATATTCAATTCCTTGCCTTTTCTTTGTCTTATTAGTCAGCGAAAAGCAGAATCATGTATAGTTTATACATTTTTAATGGGTTATGTTACGTTAGATGTTCAGATTGTAATAAATCAATTTTTGTTGTGATATTCAAACAGTAAAGTCTCATGTCATGCTATCTACTACTGTCTTTTGAAATCAATAAATATTACAACTTATATTCATAATAACTTGAGAAAAATCTCTCCATTTTAGAGGGAAATATATTGTTTTACATTTTTTTCTCAACAGCATTTCTGAAACAAATATATAAACATAAAATGGCACATGATTTACTGATACTGATTTTATCCAGAGGAAGTTAATGTCTCAAGAGAAATAAGATTAAAAGACATCATTAACAGAAATGAGTATCAGTTTTTTTTCCTCTCAAAAAGACTAATGGTCATTTCAGGCCTCTTAATTATTAAGTTGCTGGCTGCACGGCGTGCTGTTAATTAAGAATAATGTATCCACAATATGCTAAACACTTGAGTAACATGGGGGCTAGAGTTGCCATCAATGAAATTAGAGGAAACAGGTTCTACAACAGGATAACTCACAACAGTAAAAATCAGATAGACACTTTTAAAGACAGTATTATTCATTGTACTTTCTATAAAACCATCTATGATACTTGTATAATTACTGCTTTAGCTAACATGATGTTTCCCTATTTTTCAACATGAGTTTCTGAAACCAAGAGATTTTATTCCAAACACAACAATGATAGAAAATTAAGAATGCAGCCAGAAATTAATTTTATGGTTGAATCAAGTGGGTACAACAACAACAAAAAGATGCACAGGTTATTTTGTACACAATTGCAACTTTGTGTACATCTACACAAAAATAAGGCTTAGTGAATTGGATAGTTTCTTCTGGCTAAGAATGCAAAGAATTGCATGGAAAGATTACAGTCCTGGAAGATAGGTCTACTAAACTTCTGTGGAACTTCTCTCCAGCTAAATTTGCATGGCACTGAGTTTCACAGCTTTAATCTCACACTGGTTTTATTGGTTACAAGTAGCCTGCAGAGTTATTTGCCTAGTTAGAATCCGCCCATCTATTAAAACACAGTTTGTTAACTATGGACTGTTAACTATGCAGTAAAGCTATATATCTCATTTAATTTGGGAAGTGACAACTATGTTTAAATCATTTTGATGATAAGTTCAGTGGTACTGCATTTATACACATATCCCAATCCATTTTAAGTTTACTCTGAAGAGAATCAGAGTCCACTGTCATTACTCCCAAGACAATATACAAAGATTCTTAATCTTACATGCAATCCCAAATGTAATAAAAAATTCTACATTTACTATTCTACATCACACTAAAATAAAATGGGAAATAAATAAAATAATCTCATAATCAAAATATTAAGCCTTATTACCAAAACTGGAATAAACAGCATTTTATGTGTATTTCTGAGTAGAACATATCTTGATTTGTGCGTATAGTTCTAAAACAAATGCAAACATTCACAGGTGCAGTTAAAATATTCCCAAAATTCCAAATATAATACATTTTATAAGCATATTACTATTTCCTTCAAATAAATACAAAAGAGGTTAAGTTCTAGAAAAAGGGAAAAAACATACCTGTTTCTGAAACAGAAATCTTGTATATGTACAGTATATATACTGATGCCCTATGTTAGCAAGTTATGATATTGGTGATTTTTAAAACATAAAAGTATCAGTTTTAAACAATAATTAGACAAAAATGAAGAACAAAATGCAGTAGAAAGCTAAACACTTCTGTATTTGAAAAGCTTCTATAGAAAGAAGTTATTTTTATTTTTCTTCCTTCACCAATGGAGGTCAGTGGCATCTGGTTACTTTTTGTTGCTCCAATATTCCATTGGTTGTCCCTTCTGTAGGCTAGTGAAAAGGTGAATTAAAGATTAATGAGTGCACAGGTTGCTATAGCACAATAGTCAGTGACACCAGAAAGAGCATGGCATCCCAGTTTTATTATGCTTCATTATCAGCTCCGCTTTGCTTTGCCTCCATCACTGTTGTTGAGCTTATTTAAGAATTAATAAATATTTTTTGTAGCATCTATAAGCAATGAAGTTTTCTTAAAGAATAAAGGTTTAAAACAAACAAACAAATAGGGAAGATGATCTTTCTGCCCAGAACATTGAGGAGATAGCAGAATGCTGTTGACATGTTTTCGCATCTCATGAATGGGATATGATCTCTAACTGGGCTTTAATTTCAGTAAGGATGCTCAAACAAGGTTAGCTGTAGAACACTGAATCTGTGTAAAATTTATTGATTTCATTTCCAGACTGCTTAACAATCACAGTTTCTGGATGGTGTTCAGATCTTGACGTGACACATCTAAAGACATTTTCCCCCGCCCCCCCCTTCAGTACCCTGTTTCCCCCAAAATAAGACATCCCCTGATAATAAGACCAATCAGGCTTTTGAGCACATGGCAATAAGGCCAAGCACTTATTTCAGGGTTCAAAAAAATATAAGACAGGGTCTTATTTTCGGGGAAACACGGTACTATGAGTAAGATGTTTCTGCATCCAAATGTAGGGTAACAATTCTTAACTGGTAATTGTTATTAAGCTTCTGTTACACATTATCAAAATGACTGCACAATTCTTTAGGAATATGAGATATTAACATTCATTCTGGTCCAAGTGCTTGAAACAGAATACCACTTAAGGATCACCATTGAATCTTAGAACAATCACATTAGATTAATATACTGTGCTGAACTATAGTATGACATGTTTGGGTTTTTTGTTCAGTGTGTTGCATGAATTTTGCTCAGCATGGTGTATGAATTCATCAACCAAAAGCAAGGTTTAGATTGTTCATGTTATGTGAACTTAGACCATTGTAATTAATTCAATAAACTATAGCTTAGTAAATTATAGATGTGAAGCAAGATTATGTGGACTTCTTAAGGGTACTCTTTTTGTCTCCTAGATTTTGTTTTTAAAAAATCCAAAACTAATCTCAGCAATTTGATTATTACTAAGGACACATATGTTGACATATTTACAGCAGGGGTGGATTCTACTTATCTTTACTACTGGTTTGCAGTGGGGCTGCACGCGCGCACGAGCGAAGCATGTGCAGAAGCATTTGATGACGTCGGGGTCAGTGGGCAGAGCTTCCTGCCGGTTTTACTACCAGTTCTATAGAACCGGTGCAAACCGGAGAAAACCCACCACTGATTTACAGTCTGTAGAGCTTGCAGAGAACTGCCAGCAACCGGTGCTTATCTTTTTGAGCCAACTGAGAATGCACATAGAATGGTGTGCAAGATTAGTGAGAATAAATTGTTAATTTGTTCACAGTTTTTGACTTGCTGCAGTAGCAAGCCTTAACTGTCTTCCAAATTATAGATACCTGCATTTGGGTTTCTTTCCAGCAAATGAAAAGCAGGAGCTCATCTTTCCCAGTTCCAATATTGTGTTATCATGTTTGTATATGCATTATTTTACATATGGATCTGTAACTAACATTATTTGAAATACATCAATAGATATAGATATAGATGGCTATAACTCAGCTTCTAGATGGCTGAGTTAGTGTTAACCACTAGTCTTTCAGCAGGCAGAACATTACATTGACCTAAATTGTGTTCCCACCATTACCCAATCCCTGGTTTGCCAAAATAAAGCCAGAGAATGAATCTATCTTTATTTATTCTGAGCCAAGTTAAGGAAACAAAATGGTGCTTTTTAAAAGCTTGGTTTCCCCTTTCACACATATTATCTATTGGTAGAAAGATCAACTATTTCCTTCTTCCTAATATGGGATGGGGCAAGATCAGTGGTGAAATCTAAATTTTTTTACTACCGGTTCTGCGGGCGTGGCTTGGGGGCATGTGGTGTGGCTTGGTGGGCGTGGCTTAGTGGGCATGGCAGGGGAAGGATATTGCAAAATCTCCATTCCCTCCCCACTCCAGGGGAAGGATACTGCAAAATATCCATTCCCACGCCACTCCAGGGGAAGGATACTGCAAAATCCCCATTCCCTCATCATTCCTGGGGGATGGATATTGCAAAATCTCCATTCCCACCCCACTCTGGGGCCAGCCAGAGGTGGTATTTACACCTCTTCGAACTACTCAAAATTTCCACTACCGGTTCTCTGAACTGCTCAAAATTTGCGCTACCGGTTCTCCAGAACCTGTCAGAACCTGATGGATTTCACCCCTGGGCAAGATGGGCTGAAATGAGACTCATGCCCCAAATGGTGGATTTAGCCTCCTGTTAA